ATGAAAATGAAAACACAACAACCCAAAACCTATGGGACACTGTAAAAGCAGTGCTAAGGGGAAGATTCATAGCATTACAGGCCTACCTCAAGAAACAAGAAAAAAGTCAAATAAATAACCTAACTCTACACCTAAAGCAACTAGAGAAGGAAGAAATGAAGAACCCCAGGGTTAGTAGAAGGAAAGAAACCTTAAAAATTAGGGCAGAAATAAATGCAAAAGAAACTAAAGAGACCATAGCAAAAATCAACAAAGCTAAAAGCTGGTTTTTTGAAAAAATAAACAAAATTGACAAACCATTAGCAAGACTCATTAAGAAACAAAGGGAGAAGAACCAAATTAACAAAATTAGAAACGAAAATGGAGAGATCACAACAGACAACACTGAAATACAAAGGATCGTAAGAGACTACTACCAGCAGCTCTATGCCAATAAAATGGACAACTTGGAAGAAATGGACAAGTTCTTAGAGAAGTATAACTTTCCAAAACTGAACCAGGAAGAAATAGAAGATTTTAACAAACCCATCACAAGCAAGGAAATCGAAACTGTAATCAGAAATCTTCCAGCAAACAAAAGCCCAGGACCGGATGGCTTCACAGCTGAATTCTACCAAAAATTTAGAGAAGTGCTAACACCTATCTTACTCAAACTCTTCCAGAAAATTGCAGAAGAAGGTAAACTTCCAAACTCATTCTATGAGGCCACCATCACCCTAATTCCAAAACCAGACAAAGATGCCACAAAAAAAGAAAACTACAGGCCAATATCACTGATGAACATAGATGCAAAAATCCTTAACAAAATTCTAGCAAACAGAATCCAACAACATATTAAAAAAATCATACACCATGACCAAGTGGGCTTTATCCCAGGAATGCAAGGATTCTTTAATATCCGCAAATCAATCAATGTAATACACCACATTAACAAATTGAAAGATAAAAACCATATGATTATCTCAATAGATGCAGAAAAAGCCTTTGACAAAATTCAACATCCATTTATGATTAAAACTCTCCAGAAAGCAGGAATAGAAGGAACATACCTCAACATAATAAAAGCTATATATGACAAACCCACAGCAAGCATCACCCTCAATGGTGAAAAATTGAAAGCATTTCCCCTGAAATCAGGAACAAGACAAGGGTGCCCACTCTCACCACTACTATTCAACATAGTTTTGGAAGTGTTGGCCACAGCAATCAGGGCAGAAAAAGGAAGTAAAAGGAATCCAGATAGGAAAAGAAGAAGTGAAACTCTCGCTGTTTGCAGATGACATGATCCTCTACATAGAAAACCCTAAAGACTCTACCAGAAAATTACTAGAGCTAATCAACGAATACAGTAAAGTTGCAGGATATAAAATTAACACACAGAAATCTCTTGCATTCCTATACACTAACAAGGAGAAAACAGAAAGAGAAATTAAGGAAACAATACCATTCACCATTGCAACAAAAAGAATAAAATACTAAGGAGTATATCTACCTAAAGAAACAAAAGACCTATACATAGAAAACTATAAAACACTGATGAAAGAAATCAAAGAGGACACAAACAGATGGAGAAATATACCGTGTTCATGGATTGGAAGAATCAATATTGTCAAAATGGCTATACTACCCAAAGCAATCTATAGATTCAATGCAATCCCTATCAAACTACCAACGGTATTTTTCACAGAACTAGAACAAATAATTTCACAATTTGTATGGAAATACAAAAAACCTCGAATAGCCAAAGTAACCTTGAGAAAGAAGAATGGAACTGGAGGAATCAACCTGCCTGACTTCAGACTATACTACAAAGCCACAGTCATCAAGACAGTATGGTACTGGCACAAAGACAGAAATATAGATCAATGGAACAGAATAGAAAGCCCAGAGATAAATCCACGAACCTATGGTCACCTTATCTTCGACAAAGGAGGCAAGGATATACAATGGAAAAAAGACAACCTCTTTAACAAGTGGTGCTGGGAAAACTGGTCAACCACCTGTAAAAGAATGAAACTAGAACACTTTCTAACACCATACACAAAAATAAACTCAAAATGGATTAAAGATCTAAATGTAAGACCAGAAACTATAAACCTCCTAGAGGAGAACATAGGTAAAACACTCTCCGACATAAATCACAGCAGGATCCTCTATGACCCACATCCCAGAATTTTAGAAACAAAAGCAAAAATAAACAAATGGGACCTAATGAAACTTAAAAGCTTTTGCACAACAAAGGAAACTATAAGCAAGGTGAAAAGACAGCCCTCAGACTGGGAGAAAATAATAGCAAACGAAGCAACAGACAAAGGATTAATCTCAAAAATATACAAGCAACTCCTCCAGCTCAACTCCCCAGAAAAATAAATGACCCAATCAAAAAATGGACCAAAGAACTAAACAGACATTTCTCCAAGGAAGACATACAGATGGCACAAAAACACATGAAAAGATGCTCAACATCACTCATTATCAGAGAAATACAAATCAAAACTACAATGAGGTACCATTACACGCCAGTCAGGATGACTGCTATCCAAAAGTCTACAAGCAATAAATGCTGGAGAGGGTGTGGAGAAAAGGGAACCCTCTTACACTGTTGGTGGGAATGCAAATTAGTACAGCCACTATGGAAAACAGTGTGGAGATTTCTTAAAAAGCTGGAAATAGAACTGCCATATGACCCAGCAATCCCATTTCTGGGCATACACACTGAGGAAGCCAGATCTGAAAGAGACACATGCACCCCAATGTTCATCGCAGCACTGTTTATAATAGCCAGGACATGGAAGCAACCTAGATGCCCATCAGCAGACAAATGGATGAAGAAGCTGTGGTACATATACACCATGGAATATTACTCAGCCATTAAAAAGAATTCATTTGAATCAGTTCTAATGAGATGGATGAAACTGGAGCCCATTATACAGAGCGAAGTAAGCCAGAAAGATAAAGACCATTACAGTATACTAACACATATATATGGAATTTAGAAAGATGGTAATGATAACCCTATATGCAAAACAGAAAAAGAGACACAGATGTATAGAACAGACTTGTGGACTCTGGGAGAAGGCGAGGGTGGGATGTTTCAAGAGAACAGCATCGAAACATGTATATTATCTAGGGTGAAACAGATCACCAGCTAGGGTTGGGTGCATGAGACAAGTGCTCGGGCCTGGTGCACTGGGAAGACCCAGAGGGATTGGGTGGAGAGGGAGGTGGGAGCGGGGACTGGGATGGGGAATACATGTAAAACCATGGCTAATTCATTTCAATGTATGACAAAAACCACTGCAATGATGTAAAGTAATTAGCCTCCAACTAATAAAAATAAATGGAAAAAATAAATAAAATTTTAAAATTAAAAAAAAAATAAACATTTCATCCTATATAATACAATTTCTGCCACTGTAACAGCACAGTGCTCATTCACAGACAGTGCTTAAAAATCATGAGCAATAAGAGATGTTATTTTTAAATAATGAAATCAACTGAGTCTAACCTGAGCGATTGGATACTCTGGCTTAACACTGATCTACAACACTGAAAAAGTCCTTTGGAACAAAACACTTGTCCCAACTTGACAGACATACTGTGAGCAAGTATATAAGGAAATATTAGTTCACTATTAAGAAATGATTATATAATCTATAAAAGCATGATGAGTAGCTTCTCAATAGTTTAATTTAAAATTCAAAGTAATCTTCATAGAGTTTTATTGAAACCCACCTCCTACTATTTTCTCACGTTTTGAAACAGCTAATGTCAAATGAATGAAGGACCTACTTAAATTCAAAATATATTTGTATTTATTTCTGGATGAAACTTACGTTGGTGGAAAACAAACCATCAATCAAGGCTTTAATGCTAATTCCTAATCATTGTGCTTGATATATTTTTTTAAGGATTTAAGACATACAACTCAAAAGTATTAATGATTAATGCTGCTTTGCCTATACAAATGTAAAGATTATATATGATATGCTAGAGAATTATTTTTTTCATAAATTTTATGTTAAATCTAAAAAAACTAATTATGTTCTATGAACACTTTTAAAGTGTTAGTACATTTAAGTATCAACTCTCCTTAGCTGAGACATTTTCTCTGTTAGAGGGATAAAAGTCCATCCAGTTGCCAGTACATTTGATATAGTCCTTAATATCAATGTGCAGATTAAAAAAAAATTCCATATAATATGTAATATCTGTATTTTAATTAAATAAATTAAATTATTTAATTAATTCTAAATTAATTAAATTCTTTTTACAAAGCTTTCCACCTTGTATGAATAGAACTGTTTTTGTTCTTGTTCATCCGGTCAGGTCCCTTCCCTTCACTAGTGATTCTTTACTAGGAGAACACCATGTCCTTAATTCAGTTCTTAGAATCCTATTTTCAAACAAAAGAATTTTAAATATATGCTAAATGCATAATGTACTTAATCATGGAGCACAGGTCTCAAAAGACATAGGATATGGAAAAATCTGAATTAAACAGGCAACAGAGATGGAATGCATAAAATGGAGTAAAAATGGAGACAGAAGAAAAGACTGCATTAATTTCTTTCCATGCCTCCTGGAGGCTGACCTGGCCATTATCATGTAAACAGAAAAAATAAATCCCTAGACTTGGCTACTATTACACACTCTGTATTCTACCCAGTTACATTCTTTGATAACCAAAGTGCGTATGTAATGGCACTGCAAGAATATTTCTGCTGAAACTATAATACAGAGTGAGGAGGAAAAAAAAGAGTCCATCAACTTTTCCAGCATTGTTTCTAGGAACAGGCATAATAAGCAGAAAGAAAATGTATTATTTTTAAACATGCATTTTAATTTGGAAGGGCAAAGAGACTTCCAGCATGCTTCTATTATGAATATATTTTATATACTCATATAAATATGAATATATATTATATTCTTATGTCTGAAGAAATGTTTAATTTATACCAGAATAAAGATTTTTGAATAAATTTAATAAATGCACAAAATCATATAAGGATATCATATCCAAATCTCAACTTATCTTCAAGTTTCAAGGTGATATATGTCTGTTCTGGAATTCTAACATCATTCACAAAAGTCTACAAGAGAAAAAAAAGATGTTAAGTTAATATTTGAAGAATTATTATATTTTAGACAAGCAAATATTCAAACCTTATACTATATAGATCGAATGGTGGCTAATATAGCTTGTGTATCATCATAAAATTCATCTTGTAATAAATGATTTCATAATAAAAGATTTCATACTAAGCCCTTTATTACTATTACAAGTAACATACAAAGAACCAACTTGCAGTTCCTCTAAGTCTACTATGCTGCCAAGACAAATTTAGGCACCTAAAAATGGTGCCAAGAAAAGATTCTACTTGAAGTTAGAAATTGTAAAAGTGAAATATTTAGCTCTAGATATAATATCAGGGTCCACTAGACTCAATTTTAATTTTTCTGGACAGTTTTAATTATTGGTAAGGATTGAGGTTATTCCTAGAAGTCTTTTAAAGAAGAAAAAGCAAATTTACTTAAAAAAACTGAATAAAACTCATTCTATTTTACAATTGCCATATGAGTCCTTTGGATGCTGTTAAGAATTTAAGATACATTACAAGACCCTTACATGAATCTAAGATACATTATAGAAACATTATTTTTCCTGTATCTCAAAATATTCTGTTTCATCAACATTATTATCCCATAATTATTTCATTTTATCAATTATTTCTTACTGTGGAAATGACCAAAATAGTAAGAGAAGAACAGAATTACCTAGAACACACTAGTATACTATACTAGGTATACTATACTAGTAGGTATACTATTAGATTTTCCAGTAGGTGAAAAGAGGTGATATTAATTTTCATAAAATATTTTAATTAACATACACATCCAAAATAGTACCATTTAAGAATATAAAAATTAAGAAGGCATTTTACATTCTTTTTTTTGTACCTTGCTTTTTAGACTAGTCACATTTCAAGTGCTCAATAGCCACACATGGATAGTGTGGTGAATATCAAACAGAGCTAGATGGATGATGCAATCATGAAATATTGTATAATCTTTCAGTTCTTTACTACATTATCCAAAATATTGCACCATCTTCCCAAGAAGATGTGAAACACATCTGAAGACAGCATCTTTGCCCTTTTTGAAAAAGCAATTAAAGAGCAAAATTGAGAATTCAGCATTTTTTATTTAACATCCATAAAGGCAAAGAAAAAATGGGAAGATATTTCAGTTATAAGGGTAAATATAAAAAGTAGAGCAGCATTCTAGACTATAACAACAATGTATAAAACATTAACAAAATAAGCAAAATATCAAACCATGAGTCTTTGGATGAAGATAATCCTAGATGAATTTTGCTAACACAAGAACTGATGAGAGAAGAATGTTTCCAAAGTTAAAAAAAAAAACCCTAAAAGATATTTTTCATCCAGTTAGCCTAAGTCAGTAAGAAGAATTACACAGTATTTTTTAACACAAAACTAACGATTCTGCATTTTAAAAGAAATTGTGACAATTTTCTCTCATTTTTTAATGTTTGTACTTTAATATTTGATTTAGTATGCAGGAGAACAAATGTATCTATATAAAAGTAAATGATACTAAAGAGATGATGTATTAAGAGAAATAAAATTATTGAACTGATCCTGCAACTGTTGTAATGTTTTACAGTTATGGAAGAAAATGAAGATGACCTTCTTCTTGATAAAATTTTAAACTGTCAAAAATCTTAAAAATGATGCATTTTGATAATGCAAGAGAAGAAAAACTATAAATAAAAGTAAACTAGAACCAGTGAGAGATGTACTTGAAATCTGAATCAGCATCTATAAAATGGATATATATCCCAGAGAATGCATGACAATTGATGCATTTCTGGCTCTCAAAGAACAATACTCAATCTGTATGTTACATATCTTTCAAAACCAGGAAAATATGGAATAAAAATTGGAGTCTGTCAGGTGGCGTTAGGGGTAAAGAACCTGCCTGCCAATGCAGGAGGCAAAAAAGATGTGGGTTCAATCCCTGGGTCGGGAAGATCCCCTGGAGAAGGAAATGGCAACCCACTCCAGTATTCTTGCCTGGAGTCTCATGGACAGAGGACCCTGACGGGTTACAGTCCATGGGGCCACAAGAATTGGACACGACTGAAGCGACCTATGACACACACACACACGTCTTATTTTTTAATAAAAGTTCAAGTTGTTCTCTCATCTTTTAATTCTTACTTGTGTAAACTATTTGTAAAAAGACTCAACGGGTCCACTGGACACAAGATGGTAAATGGTGATGATTATTTTTCCTGACATACTAGAAGTTAAAGATCTAGAATCCACTTATTTATAAGACATAGAACAATGCTATACTTAATTACCTAGAATGCAGACATCGTGTAAATGCCCAACGTTTCTCTTTGGTAAGTTGAAACTTTAAAAATTACTCTTTCTTTTTGAATCTTGTTTTTTCTGTTCTTTATTTTACTGGATTTGAGATGGCCATCATACCTTGCTTGAGAAGGGTCCCTCCACAATAAATAAGTTTAGAATGTTATAAAGTAAAATACATATCAGGGTTGTGTTATTATGATCATATTCTCAAATTCCTTTGCATAGCTGGCACTTTGTAATATGTCACAGAATACCAGTTTCTAAGTCTACCAAAAACAAACAAACAAAAATAGAAGCTGCAATCTTATTCCTGATATAAGGAGACAGCAGAATACTGCTAAACTCAAGATCACATATTAGTATGATTTATGAATAATCCTAAATAACAAGCTTCTAACATGCTTCACAGAAAGGAGGAAAAGTTAATTCAAAGAAAATTCAAAGGCTCAGGCAGTTATAAACACTAATTTCAGGCTCATTTCCAAAATGCACATTTTAGAGTCTTTTAAGAATTATATTTTGAGTTTACCAACATATTCTATATTAATTACAGAAGAGAAAAGCTGAGGAGCATGATGAAAGAGAAAAGAATAAAGAACATATTAATTAACTGATGTCTGGTATGCAGAAGACAGATACACAGTTTAAGAGAAATGCCACAGTTCTAAACCAATTTTATTTAAAACCATCTCATCCTAAAATACCATATTTACTTAAAAGACCTAAGATGACCTATAAGATCTCCTCAAAGCTCACTGCTTAACTCTCTTGAATATTAAACACTTACTGTTTTTAACAAATGTACTAGGAGCTTTCAGAGATTAAAAAACATAATTTTAACATGCTAGCATTTATGACAAAAATATTTCCTAACGTCTAAAAAAGGCTGAGGAAATATGAGCCAGACACAAAGTTTCATCTCACAAAATGTAATTGAGAACACCTGGGAGCAAAAAGTCTTCTGATAGTTTAAAATTATAAAAGGGTAGAAAATTTCAAAGACCAAAAGGAGAAAAAATCATTTATATAAATCAACTATGAAGCATTCTAATAAATTAGATATGGAAAGAAAAATAGGTTTTATTTCTTATGCCAACATCATTTGATCATACCTCTACCTGGTAGGTAGGACAGGTGAGGACAATGAGGCACAAAGCATGAAGTAACAATCAAGATTTGAGTTCAGAAGTAGAATTACTGAGATTCAAAATCAGGTCTCTAAACTACAAATCTGCACATCGAGAAAGCTTGGGTTACCAAGCCAAGACAGCTCCCCAAACTTTCCCTTCCAAACCACTACCCTTAAGAGAAGCCAACTGACCAGATAAACACCTGTTTAATTTAAATATGAATGTATTACATAATTGACAGTATAAAATCATATAATGACCAGGTACTGCAGTAGTGCTCTGGAAAATCCGAAGGAAACGGCCAGCAGCACAATACCTCAATCATGTTGCCAGCAAGTAAGGTCTCCTCTTCTCCCCTACTTTCCTACTTCCTCATTCTATGCTATACTGGTCTGATGCTGCGGGATACACAGTGTAAAAGAGGACACAGCAGGGGCTGAGGTAGAATGGGATGGGAGTGGTATGGCAAAAGCCAATGGTGGCTATCAGAGGTGCAGGTGCTCTATCTAGAACACGGAGGAAGCAGAAGAACTGGAGGCAAGTAAGGGCTGTCATAGAAAAGAGAAGCCTCAGGGAGCTTGCAGGGAAACAGCCCACTCACATAAGCTACAGAAGCAGTTCCAGCTTCCTCAAGCAAAACAGCCTCATTTCTGGTAGTAATAACATTAAGTGTGGACCTGGGTAACTTGGCAGTGTATTTTAGGGTAGGGTGAAAGGAAGTAGGAGTGAAAGTAGTCACAGGTAGCTATTTATAAATAGCTTAAAGTTGATAGTGCTTTTTAAAAAAATTTAACTGCATATGTATTCACTAAAAAGTAGGTAGCCTACAGGATGCTAAACTTGTTTTAACTATTTTTCTTATCATAACAGCAACAGTAACTAACACTTTTGTGTGTGTGTGTGTGTGTGTCTGTGTGTGTGTGTTTGCTCAGTTGCGTCCAACTCTTTGTGACCCCATGGACCTGAGCCTACCAGGCTCCTCTGTCCATGGGATTCTCCAGGCAAGAATACTGGAGTGGGTTGCTATCTTCTCCCCCTAACTCAGGGACAGAATCCATCATCTCCTGCATTGGCAGGCAGATTCTTTACCACTGAACCACCTGGGAACTCCAGTAACTAACACTTACTGAATGCTTATTACATACTGTTCTAGGTGTTTAAAACTCTTAACTTATTCACAACAACCTGAGGAGTACCACTTTACTACTTCTATTTTTAAAAAATTGCGGATCAGAAAAATTAAGTGACCTGCCCAGCATCACACCACTAGTAAGAATTCAAGCTGGGCTCATACCACTACGCTGTGCCCTCTCTGAAATTACTACTTTTAACCTGATGCTCAAATTTCTAGAATTCTATGAATGTTAAGTTACCTAGGTCCATACTTAATGTTATTATTATCAGAAATGAGGCTGCACACAGAGTGGACTTTGGCTACCAGAGTCCATTCTGGCATATTTCCTAGGCTATTCATTTGGGTAACAGGGCATTTATTATTTGTGTAATGTTTTAAAGTTCTGTAACAGACACACATATATTGTCACATTTAATCCTCACAACACTACTATAAAGCAAGAATTATGGTTTCACTTTATTGACTATGCCAAAGCCTTTGACTGTTTGGATCACAATAAAGTGTGGAAAATTATGAAAGATGTGGGAATACTAGACCACCTGACCTGCCTCTTGAGAAACCTATATGCAGGTCAGGAAGCAACAGTTCGAACTGGACATGAAACAACAGACTGGTTCCACATAGGGAAAGGAGTATGTCAAGGCTGTATTTTGTCACCCTGCTAATTTAACTTATATGCAGAGTATATCATGAGAAACCCTGGGCAGGAAGAAGCACAAGCTGGAATCAAGACTGCCAGGAGAAATATCAATAACCTCAGATATGCAGATGACACCACCCTTATGGCTGAAAGTGAAGAAAAACTGAAGAGCCTCTTGATGAAAGTGAAAGAGGAGAGTGAAAAAGTTGGCTTAAAGCTCAACATTCAGAAAACTAAGATCATGGCATCTGGTCCCATCACTTCATGGCAAATAGATGGGGAAACAGTGGAAACAGTGGCTGACTTTGGGGGGCTCCAAAATCACTGCAGATGGTGACTGCAGCCATGAAATTAAAAGACGCTTACTCCTTGGAAGGAAACTTATGACCAACATAGACAGCATATTAAAAAGCAGAGACATTACTGTGTCAACAAAGCTTAGTCTAGTCAAGGCTATGGTTTTTCCAGTAGTCATGTATGGATGTGAGAGTTGGACTATAAAGAAAGCTGAGCGCAGAAGAATTGATGCTTTTGAACAGGGGTGTTGGAGAAGACTCTTGAGAGTCCCTTGGACTGCAAGGAGATCCAACCAGTCCATCCTAAAGGAAATCACTCCTGGGTGTTCATTGGTAGGACTGATGTCGAAGCTGAAACTCCAATACTTTGGCCACCTGATGGGAAGAGCTGACTCATTTGAAAAGACCCTGATGCTGGGAAAGACTGAGGGCAGGAGGAGAAGGGGATGACAGAGGATGAGATGGTTAGATGGCATCACTGACTCAACGGACATGGGTTTGGGTGGACTCCGGGAGTTGGTGATGGACAGAAAGGCCTGGCGTGCTGCTGTTCATAGGGTTGCAAAGAGTTGGACAGGACTGAGCGACTGAACTGAACTGAAACTGAATGGGTTCAGCATTCTAAAAATGAAGTCAGGTAATTAAATTTTGCGCTGAGTCTTCACATTCATAAACTTCAACTCATTCAGTTCAGTTCAGTTGCTCAGCCGTGTCTGACTCTGCGACCCCATGAACCACAACTCATTGCATTTGCACAACTATGGACATATATGAGGAAATGGAATTTCAGAGGGTTTAAGTAATTTGTCCAACATTATAATGCTCGTAAGTTACAGACTGAGATTCAAATCTAGGTCCTGATTTCAAGTTCAAAATGAAGATCTTACTCTCTATGAGTTACCGTATTTCAGAAAATTACTAAGTACAATCAAATTACAAGAAATATCAGTCTTGATAAACTTAGAAGTTAATATTTCACCTTATTTTTTATAACCTACATCAATAATTTTTATATTTGGTCACAATGTTTTAAAAGACTAAAACACAAATGTAATTCTCACTTATTATTTTCCAAGATATAATGTAAAGACACCTAAGACGAGTGCTGTGGTCAAGATGAAATTTTCCAGTTTTAAAAGCAGAATATACCATTTTTAAAACATTCTACATATAGAAGTGGATTAAAAATTCTCTATAAAGTCTTTCATATAGAAAATTCATTCAATTCCATTCAAAAAGATTTTCTGGGTTCAGGCACTGTACAGAGCCTCGTGTGAGACACTGTGGTGTGTTTACCAAAGCAAAAGGCCCATGAACTGTTCAGAAGAACACAAAGTCTAGCACAGTGGCAGATATTCACAAGTAGATTCACAAGTAGATTATTAAACCTTGCACTAGGCAAGGTTGATAAAGCACCTAAGACAGAGATTAAAAGAGAAGTCTGTAGGTGTGGACAAGGAATAGAGTAACTCTGTAAATAGCACCTCAGAATCCAAATTACGTTCTTACATGCCCCATGTTAGAACAATTTCTACCTCACCTGCCTATTTCCTCTATCTTAATCATTCAACATGTTAATTACATCAACAAGTTAATATTCTTCAATACTTTTTTGCTGCCTTCAGGAAGATGTGGAATGTATGGCAAAAACCACCACAATATTGTAAAGTAATTAGCCTCCAATAAAAAAAAAAAGAAAAAAAGTATGACTTATATGACAAGGTACAAAAGGACGACTGGGCTGCAGAAAATCTAACAAATTATTTGCAGAAGGAGACAGCATCGTAGGAAAACTACTATTTTGGAGGCATGGTAAGGAAAATGTGATGGAGCATAAATCTGGAAAAGTGGGTGATGCCGAATATGAGGTGTTTCAGTTCAAATACGAGGAATTAAGACTTATTTATGTGTCATAGGAAACAAATAAAGGTGTGGATAAAACTAAGAGAAAAACATGCTACCAAAAATGTATCTCAATGAATAAACATAAAAGTCCTTCAGGAGAAGGCCAATTCAGAAAAGAAAAAAAATTACCATATTTGCCAAATTTCTACATGTTTTTCCACATAATGTTTAATGTTATATTTTGAAAAGCAGTACCAGTTAGAAGTATGGACACATTTAATTCTGTGAAATTCTCTTAAAGAATTTCAACAGCACAGATCTCAACAAAATTATATTTGTTTTTGTTAGCAAAGACATGAGAAAACTGAGAAGAAAGATAAATTATTCAACACCTCAGCATTCTCTTACTCTGCAGCTACTTACATTCTGTCAATGTAGAAAGATCAATTGAAGAATTAGGGAAAAAAATTTCACTAACACAAAATTTTATGTGTTAAAAATTAATAAAAAATTAATTAACACAAAAATTTTCAGCATAGGATTCCAAAGAAGCAATAACAGACACTAGAGTTTAGACAACACACCACATTTGTTAAGGTAAATGAATGTTTCACTCCTTTTTACTCTACTATAGAAGATTCTTCAATGATCTAACACCAAACCATATTTGCATCTTTTTTTTTTTGCCCAAAGTTAACCCACACACATGACAATTCTGTCTCTCGAAGACTGCTTTTCTGAATTCTTACTGTCATGACTTATCACTCTGTTCTCACATATAAATTCAAGCCATTCAGTAAGGACAAGCCCTCCTCTTACTTTCTTAAAGAAGCCGCTTTTTTTTTAACCATTAGACAATAACAATCAACAACCATCTGAATTCCTTTAAGTATTTACCACCAAGAGGGTTTCTTGGGAATATAAACCACATTCATATTCTAGGATAAGGTCCTCAAAGTGCTATGTACCTAGTAAGCACTTTAAAAGTAGGTACACACTAAAGAAAAGGAAATAAAACACAAACAGGATTTTGTATTTTTATCTGTTTTCTTACATATTAAACAAAAATTCAAATAAGACAAAAAGAAAACTCTTAACTTACCCCATTTAGACTGCCTAAATCTTTCACCAAATGTTCATCAGTAGAGGCATCATAATTGATTACAGCATGTTGCTTATCCACACTACGAGACTGAAAGAAAAAAATTTAAGTTAAAAAAAAAATGCAAGAAAATGCCAGAATAAATAATCAAAACAATGATTTTTGGCTAAATACTTTAATAAGATTGTAAATATAGGAAAATACCAAAGTAAGACTAGATTAAATGAAGATTTAAACTGTTACTATCCAACAGAAATTTGGCATCATTTTTCAAAGAGGAAAGCTGCTACAATTTTAAGACATTCTTTTCTACCAAAGTCACACATTCTACTTTTGAGAATTTAAATCAGCTGACTTTGTTGAATGTATCAAATCACAATGTTTTTTAAAAAATAATATGAAAATCTTATATGGAAATCATGTGAATTATAACTTCATGTGTTATGTACCTCATTGCAAGAAAAATTACCATACAGGCTTTTCATCTTTCATGTGATATGTTCCTGAATATAAAATTATCCTCGCTTAGAATATGGGTTCTAAAACTCATGGGAGAGCTCTAAGAGAGAAAGAGAAAGTCAAAAAAAAGGAATTAGAATGGCAAACGGATTTCTGAAAATTGCTCTTGAGTCTCTTTTAAAGTATACACAAACAACTTTCTCCTAGAGCTTAGTGAGTTATCTATAGACGAAAGTAGCTCAGAGATGAACTATAAGCCTTTGGAAATTTGCACCCAAAGGAAATACAGTATAGCCACAGGAAGAAATAATCTGAGAACCTCTGAATATGAACTCAACAACCATTTATTTACTACTGGGTTATTATGTTATCCTTGGTATACTAAAAGCAAAGAACCATCCAAAATGGGGAGGAGGTATCATTTTCAGTTTTCAGTCCAGCACGTACATGTCACTGACACAATGGACATAAGTTTGAGTGTGCTCCGGGAGTTGGTGATGGACAGGGAAGCCTGGCATGCTGCAGTCCATGGGGTTGCAAAGAGTCAGACACAACTAAGCAACTGAACTGAACTGATGTACAGAGTTTGGAAGTCATTAAGTCTAACTGCTTACATCAATTCTGATATCTAATCCTAGTGGTTTAAAGCAGCAGACCCCAACTTTTCTGGCACCAGGAACTGGTTTTGTGAAAGATAGTTTTTCCATGACCGGAGGGAGAGTGTGGTTTCAGGACAATTCAAGGGCACTCATTTCTTGTGTTAATGTTAATCTGTATTTGCAGCCACTCCCCACTGGAGCTAGAGCTAGCATCACTGCCTGGGTTCCACCTCAGATCATCAGGCATTAGATTCTCAAAAGGAGAACACAATGTATTATAGATCCCTCACAGGCACAGTTCACAGTAGGGTTCCAGCTCCTATAAGAATCTAATGCTGCCACTGATCTGACAGGAGGTGGAGCTCAGGTGATAACACAAGTGATAGGAAGCATCTGTAAATACAGATAAAGGTTCCCTGGCCTGCCACTCACCTCCTGCTGTGTGGCCAGGTTCCTAGAAGGCCATGGACTGACAGCAGTCTGTGGTCTGGGAGTTGAGGACCCCTGGTGTAAAGTACAGATTCTGGAGTCAAAAAGAACTGGTCCAGCCAGTTGCCAATTGTGGAACCTTGGTAAAATTATTCATCTTCATATTAATCATTCTATAAAAAGGTTCATCTAGCTCATAGGTGTTTTTGTGTGTGTGTGTGATGACTAAACACATGGGAGACATTTGTAAAGGCAATACTGCCCTGCTTGAAAACTCCTCAATCCTCTTACTGGCTAAGTTAAAATACACCAAGTCTTTGATACAGTACACAGGGCCTGCCAAGATCTGGTGTCTTCAAATGCCTAAGTCTTACTCTCTCTAAATGTTTGTGTTCACATCCTATATACAAACAAGGAACTATTTAAATTACCTAAACAGACACTGAATGCCATTCTATCTTCAATACCACACACTCAACCACATTCTAACTTTCCCGAAACCACTTATTCATCTTTTAAGATAATTCAGCTCAAGCCATCTCCTCTAGAAGTCTTTCCAGATTCCTCATTCCCACATTTTCTCACTGGCAGAAGTGATCAATCTTTTTTGTGTACCCCACACCAACTCCCATCACTGTCCTGTGTTAAACTTACTTATTTACATACCTATCTCCTTCTATTAGAGCTACACCCTAAGGACAGAGATACCCCATCTGTATACACAATGATACCTCAGCACTCAGCATGTGTGCTACGTCGGCTTCAGTCATGTCCAACTATGTGCAACCCTAAGGATTGTAGCCCTCCAGGTTCCTCTGTCTAAGGTATTCTTCAGGCAAGAATACTAGAGTGGATTGCCATTCTCTTCTCCAAGGGATCTTTCCAACTCAGAGATCGAACCCAGGTTGCCTGATTCTTTACCGTCTGAACCACCAGGGAAGCACCAGCATGCAGCATAGGGCCTACCTAGCATATGTTTTAAAAGGTTTGATGGAAAGAAAATCCACGCTATTTGGCCAATCTCATTTCATAAATGATGGAGGTAGAAAAGTTTTCTCATATTTAAAATTTAAAAAGTACAGAAGTTACAAAGTTCAGGCCAAATTTTAAGAAGCCGACAAACGAGATGGCTTGAAACAACACAACCAAACCAAAACAAAACAATACTGGCTCTCAGATAATTATAAAACTAGAAAATTTTGGAAAATAAGGATATCAAAATGAAGCAATAATACTTTTCTTAAAAAGAAATACTTCCTTACCTGCAATAAACAAACAAGAAAAAGCCTGCCATTGAATAAAGTCAAAACATAAAAAACAATTTCAGGCCAGGCACAGCAAAAAAGCATCAAAAACTCACATTGACTAATCTGTAACTAAAAACTAACATATGAAATGGTACAAATGACTTGATATATGTCATACATGCTTTGAGTATGAAACAGCTATTGATCAACATTATTATTTTTTCTCACTAAAATCTAAGACAGCAAAAAAGAGAAATACATGGAAAACATGCTAAGAAAAAACTAAAAAGAGAAGACTGCCACTGTATGTCACCATCACTTAAAAAATTCTAAAGATATTGTACTTGAAAGATTGTTTAAACATCCAGTGCATTTTTACAATCACAGTAATAGTGATTTATCCTTTGCTATCCTTTGCTCCAAAGAATAGATGAAAATTAGTAACCTATGAGCTTCAAAATATATTCCATCATTAATACATCACACAAAATTATTAAATAGTGAATCAAATATAATTTTATTTACTATTATGCATTAGAAAAAATGTTTAATTAATACAATGATGATTCTCCAAAGAGAGAAAAATTCATGCACTTGGGGCAATTAAAACATTTTATGAAGATAAAAATCAGAATTTTGAAAACTCTTTTCAAAAGGCAACTCATTAGCATACAGAGGAATCCAATATATTATAATAAAACCCAGTCACTAAATCTTTCTAAATCTTAATTTTATCATTTGCGAAGTGGAGGTAATTATATCTTTCAAAACTTGTTGAGGAACAAATGAAATAACATAAATGAATAATGAGAACAAGAGAAAGTGTTATTCAACTGCATGGTGCTTTTAATAGTAATACTGTCTGTCACTCAAAGCAAAGCAAATATAATCTTTATCCTTAATTATACCTTATACCTTGCATTCATGGCTCTTTAAGATTTGTTTTATATAATATGTCTTAGGGAATATAGTATAATCATCCTTCAAGAAAAACAAGCACAGCAAATTAATTTGTTAAAGGCTTCCAAGATTAAGTGGTAGAAACAGAATTCTTAATTTCAGAATTACCTACTCATTAATATCCAAGCACATTTTCTTCTCAAGGACCACATTCTTTACACTACCTTTTTTGGAGTGAGATGAAAAAACAAAAACAAACAAAAAAAAATTCGGTTTTTTTTGGGTCATAATTAACCAAAAAAAAAAAATTAACTGTAACCAAACAGATCATATGACCTCACGGGATCATTTGTTCCCTTTTTGCAGTAGGTTTTAAGCTACATTGTCATCAAAGTACTGTTGCCAGTAAATCTAACTGTAGTTGAAATCTTTATAGGTAAGAAACTGCTGAAAATTATCTAGCAGAGATTCTAAAACCCAGCAATTAACCAGTTATTTCCTATAGGTTAAAAATGACGGGTTTTTAAACCATAAATGCTAATTAGGCTAACAAAATCTTAAAAGATCTTTTATTTACTCATTAAAAAGCAATCAAATAGTACTACTTTTATTTCTCACAATTTCAATTATCAAACCAACTGGTCTAACCAATGCAGAACCATTTAATCTATGTAACATCTTAAGATGAAAACATAACTTCATCAACTCAAGAGCTCTCATTTTCCAAAACAAATATAGTTCACAATTATATACTTGCAAGTATTCACTTTTCAAAAGTATAAGCCATACATGAGCTTAGTTCACTTTTCAGAAATAATATAGAAAGAGTAAGTTTTAAATAATCCATTTATTTTACTAATATACTATGAAAGATTAAACCAGTTAAAAACTAAACACAATTTGTAGAAGTACTTGTTCTTACTTTCATACACAAGATATGTCTCTCTGTACTAAGAAGTTCCATTAATTTGTAGCACTGATTCTGATTACCAGATAACCATTATGCTGATCAAATCATGGACTTTTTTCAGAGAATACACTGTGTCTAGCACAGTGCTAAAAGGAGTATGCTCCCATCAGATAAAAGGCATAAGTATCTTTAGAGGTGGAGTCTGAGGAATAGGTAAAAACTGGGTTTTTTCTCACTTGATCCCTGAGTTTCCTCATCAACTTTCTATTTCAGTTTTAAAATAAAGCATAAATTTTAAAAGTAGCCATGAGTAGAAGAGGTGTCCACATTAGACACGTTGATGAACTTTAAATAAAATGTTGATTTTTGACTTTTTACACTGGCAAAATTGCTTTCAGCTCTTTAAAAAATATTTGTTTTAAATTTGTTATACAGGCATTGTTTCAATTATAATACCTGAATCAAATCAAAGATATTTTAAAATTTTGTTGCCACTGATTTCCTTTTCATTTATTTACTGTGGTAAAATATATATAACATAACATTTATCATTTTAAACTTTGTAAGAGTATGATTCAGTGGCATTAATTAAATTTACAGTGGTGTGCACTGTTGTACGACCCTGGATTCTAAAACCTTTTCACCACCCCAAACAGAACTCTGTTACTGTAAAGCAGTAACTCCCAAGTCTCCTTCCCCCAGCCACTGGTAATCACTAATCCAATCTGCATCTCTATGAATTTGCTTGTTCTAGATAGTTCATGTCTAGAATATATACATATAGATATACTCTTTTTCTTTTGGCTACACTGGGTCTTTGGTGCTGTACTCGGGCCTTCTCTAGTTGCGGAAAGCGGGGGCTACTCTCTAGTTCTGGTGCGTGGGGCTCTCTTTGCAGTGGCTCCTCTTGTGGAACACGGGTTCCAGGGAACATGGGCTTCAGTTCTGGTGCATGTGCTCAATAGTTGTGGGTGGGGGCTCCAGGGCACAGGCTCAGTCATTGTAGCACATGGGCTTAGCTGCCCCATGGCATGTGGAATCATCCTGGATTAGGGATCAAACTCCTGTCCCATGCATCACAAAGTGGGCTCTTCACCACTGACCACCAGAGAAGCCCCTTGATTTGCTTTTTTTAATGACAAATGATGTTGAGCATCTTTCACGTGCTTATCAGCCATACTTATATCTTCTTTGGAGAAATGTGTCAAGTCTTTTGTCCAATTTTTTAAAGGGGGTTATTTGTGTATCTGTTGTTTAGTTGTAGGAGTTCTTTACATACTTTGGATATTAAATTCTTATATGTAAGGTTTTATAAATATTTTCTCCCATTCTATGAGTTGTCCTCTCACTCTCTTGATAGTATCCTTAGATACACAAGGTTTTCATTTTGATGAAGTCCAATTTATCTACTTTCTGCTTCTCTGTTTGGGCTACTGGTACCACAAATCTACTGCCAAATCCAAGGTCATAAAGATTTATCCCTATGATTTATTCTAAGGGTTTTATGGCTTTAGCTTTTATATTCAGGTCATTGATCCATTTTGAGTTAATTTTTATATATGTTGTGAAGTAGGGGACCAAATTCACTTTTTTTTTTATGTGTAAGTACAGTTGTCCCAGTTTTATCTGTTGGAAAGGCCATTCTTTACTGAACGGACTTGGCTCCCTTCTCAAAAACCCAATGCAGCAGTGTCCTCAGGCTGCCACAACAAAGTACCATAAATTGGGTGGTAAAATCAGTTAAAAACAATACAAGTTTCTTCTCTCAAAGTTCTGGACTCCAGAAGTCCAAATTCAAGGAGTTGGTAGGACTATGTTTCCTCTAAAACTTTTAGGGAAGAATCTTCCCTTGTCTCTTCCAGTTTCTCATAGCCCATGTTTCCTGAGCTTCTGGTGGCATAACTCCAATCTCTGCTTCTATTTTTACATGGCTGTCTTCTCTCTGTGTCTGTCTTTTCCTCATCTGATGACACCAGTTATACTGGCTTAGAATCCACCCTAATAATTCCATCTTAACTTGACTATATCCTCAAAGACCCTATTTCCAAATAAGGTCACATTCATAAGTATGGGGTATTAAGACTTTCATACATCTTCTGGGGGAACACAATTCAAAACATAACAGCCATAGGTATATGGGCTTATTTCTGAACTCTCCATTCTGTTTCATTTGTCTATATGTCTACCCTTATTCCAGTATTGCTAGCTTTATAATAAATTTGGAATTTAAGAAGTGTGTGTCATTCAACTTTATTCTTCTTTTGAAGGTTGCTTTGCCATTTTTAAATTTTGCCAACTTTGCCAAATTATTCAGAAACAAACAATCTTTAATCAATCTTTATTATGGGTTCCATTTTCTTGATTCTTTGAGTGAGCGAGTCAAGTCACTCAGTCATGTCCGACTCTTTGCGATCCCATGGATTTTAGCCTACCAGGCTCCTCTGTCTATGGGATTTTCCAGGCAAGAATACTGGAGTGGGTTCAGGCCTGATAATTTTCTACTGGTTACCAGACACTGGGAATTTTACCTTTTTGGATGATGGATATTTCTATATTCCCATAAATATTCTTGAACTTTGCTTTGGGACACAGCTAAATTACTTTTTAAAAAATGTGACCCTTTTGTTTTTAATATTTTTAGATAAGAGTAGAACTCAGACTAGCATTAATTATTTCCTCAATACAGAGGGGTAGAGATTAATGCCCTGTGAATTATGAGGATCTGCAATCTGGCTGTCAGAAATAGGAATCATTTCTAACCCTGTTAGTGCCAATTACTGTTAATTGTAATCTTTTTGAGTTTTTTTACCCCTGCCCTTGGAGAGTTTCTTCACACATGTGTGCTGATCAGTACTCAATCACATATGTGTGTGTGTTCAGTTGCTCAGTCCTGTCTGATTCTCTGTGACCCTTTGAACTGCAGTCTACCAGGCTCCTCTGTCCATGGAATTTCTCAGGCAAGAATACTGGAGTGGGTTGCCATTTCTTCCTCCAGGGGATCTTCCCGACCCAGGGATTGAACCCAAGTCTCCTATGTCTCCTGTACTGCAGGCGGATTCTTTACCCACTAAGCCATCAGGGAAGTCCCACTCAGTCACACACTCAAGGGTAATTCTCTGCAGAGCTCTTCTCTGTGTAGCTCTTTCCTCTGAGATACTGGATCACGTCTTGGTCTCCTTGGACTCTCAGTTTCCTCCCTCCGCCTGACTGATTGTCAGACAACCTACATTTGTTACACATAAACCAAGACACAGACACCTCACGAGTCCTGTCTTTTAATCTTATCTCCATGTAAATGTAAGAAGAGATTTATCCTGTAAGTTCCTAAAGAGCCATTCCCATATTTCTTAAGATAATGCTATGCTGGCTCAAGACAAATGCCACATACAAACTACCTCTTCCACTCTCTAAAGAATGAGTTCTACCCAATTTGAAACTAAGATATGTTTCAGTTACAAGTGGTCTAAAGCCAAACAGAATCATTACTGCCTTCTTAGTTGCTATTCTCACCACTCCATCTCACTAAGGAGCCCAGAAAATCTTAGTACTATTCTATTTCTCTCACTGAATTTAATTAAAGCATCATTAAACATGTAACTCATATAGCTCTATAGTGGCTTTACTTTTACTGTCTCAAAACTATAAAATAAGTTCTTAAAGTAAAAATGTACATAAATACATGCAAATCTGACTTTTCTGGGGACAATGAAGGGTTTTTCAGTCTCAGCACTACTGGTATTTTTGAGCAAATAATTTTTTGTTGTGTGTGTTCGGTGGTAACATAGAAGTTATGAAGAAGTATTTTATATACTGTAGGATGTTTAGCAACGCCCCTTGACCTTTGTCTACTGAATGTCAGTAGCAATCACCTCCAACCCTCCACCATGCATGACAATCAAAATGTCTCCAAACATTGCAAATATCTTTTGGAAGAGTTAGGGGAGGCAGGATCATCCCAATTGAGAACCACTGGGCTAACACAATAAACATCTCTATTCTAAGCACTTGTTTACAGTTTTTAATCAATAAAAGCAGGGAGAGCAATTGGATAAGGCTTTATTCTAGACTGTAAGGACCTATTAAATTAACAAAGTTCTCAAAAGCTTGTGGATCATTTTTGTTAATTACTTTGCTCAAAAATATCTTAAAGGTGTGTTTTAAAATTAATTGCTTTAAAATGAGGCTTCCCAGGTGGCACAGTGGTAAAGAATCTGCCTGCCAAGGCAGGAGACCTAAGAGACTTGGGTTTGATTCCTGTGTTGGGAAGATCCCTTGGAAAAGGAAATGACAACCCACTTCAGTCTTCTTGCCTGGAAAATTTACATGGACAGAGGAGTCTGGTGGGCTACAGTCTATGGGGTTGCAAAGAGTTGGGACATGACTGAGCATGCACTCACCTTTAAAAATAATTCAGTTTTAAATACAAACAATCTGCATGCTCAAATTACTAGAAGATATAATGAAAAAATATGACTATCTCAAAAAGAAACAGATTAATTCCAGTATCAATCAAGTACCCATGAATAAAATTCAGTTTTACTTCATGCTACGCTAATTTTATGAATTAGTACACTTCCATGGAGATAAAATTACTTGTGTCTTAAAAGTGCATAATGTGAAACTTCTTAAAAATAAACTTCTCTACTCAAAGTTCTCATTTTTTAATATATAAATCTCCAAGACTTAGAACTTGTTTTTAAATGGTACAAGAGGGAGAAAATTAAACTAGTAGCTACAGTTTAAAGAGGGAGAGTTGGAAAGTTCAAAGTTCAAAGTAGTGTTGCTGTTCAAAGGAGTAGAAAAATACTTCATAACAATTTCAGGTTTTGAGTAGATATAGAAGGTGGACGCAATTACCTGCAACATGAGCTCACAGTCATCTCTTCCAACAAAAATCATTTCTCGTGGCAGCCTGTGGCGAGTGCCTCCACTGCTCACCAAAAACCAGGATGTTACGCTCATTTTCTGTTTAGCTTCTAAGTCCTTGGGAAAGCTACGTCATCCTGAAGAGAGAGATTTAGAAAAGCATACATTGAGATATTTTCAATTTCAGTATCTAGTCACCAAACCCTCTAAGTATACCTTGGAATAGAACTGCACTCAACTTTTACACCTGACTAAATAAAAAGACAATCCACAGTTCCCAGGAAAAAATATATCTAACATAGTCTCAGAAGTAAGTCCACAAACTCCAATAAAAGGTCAATTAAAAAAAAAAAAAGACATTAGCCAACTAGGCAGTCAACTAATAACATTTATCATACATCTGAAAGGTTTTGAGAATAGCTTATAAAGGTCTACAATTCTCAAGTAAATGGTCACATTTGTATCATGTTAACCTCAGTAAATGCTAGCAATATTACAATATTATACAAATAAGTGTCTAAATTACAAGTGATTTGAGAAAGACAGACTCAATTCAAATGAATGTATTTGATAACTGATGAAGAGCTACCAAGGGACAACAAAGAAACTGCTTCACTATCAGTGTAGACCCCTCAATGCTCTTTCAAAAGTATGCAATTTATGTACTGTACTTTTACCACTCTAATGGAAAAAGTGAAGAGGAACCAAAAAGCCTCTTGATGAGGGTGAAAGAGGAGAGTGAAAAAGCTGGCTTGAAGCTTAACATTAAAAAACAAAGATGATGGCATCTGGTCCAATCATTTCATGGCAAACAGAGGGGAAAAAGTAGAAACAGTGACGGCTTTTATTTTCTTGGGCTCCAAAATCACTGTGGACAGTGACTACAGCAATGAAATCCAAAGACGCTTGCTCCTTGAAAGGTAAGCTATGACAAACCTATGCTGTGCTTAGTCACTCAGTCATGTCCAACTCTTTGCAACCCCGTGGACTGCAGGCCACCAGGCTCCTCTGTCCATGGGATTCTCCCGGCAAGAATACTGAAGTGGGTTGCCCTCCTCCAGAGAAGGGATCAAACCCAGGTCTCCTGTACTTCAGGCAGATTTTTTACCATCTGAGCCACCAGGGAAGCCCTAGATAGCATATTAAAAAGCAGAGACATCACTTTGCCAACTAAGGTCCATATAGTCAAAACTATGGTTTATTCCAGTAATCATGTACAGATGTGAGAGCTGGACCATAAAGAGAAGGTTGAGCAACAAAGAATTGATGGTTTTGAATTGTGGTGCTAGAGAAGACTCTTTAGAGTCCCTTGGACTACAAGGAGATCAAACCAGTCAATCCTAAAGGAAATCAACTCTGAATATTCATTGGAAGGATTGATGCTGAGGCTGAAATTCCAATACTTTGGCCACCTGACGCAAAGGGCTGACTCTTTGCAAAAGACCCTGATGCTGGGAAAGACTAAAGGCAACAGGAGAAGGGGGTGGCAGAGTATGAGATGATGAGACAGCATCACTGACTCAATGGACATGAGTTTGAGCAAACTCTTAAGAGACAGTGGAGGACAGAGGAGCCTGGTGTGCTGCAGTCCATGGCGACTGAAAAACAACTTTCTGCATTCATTTTTTCTAGAGCAGCAGTTCTTAAACTTTTTGTCCTTGATATTCTTCTATACCCGGGGTGGGGGGAGGGGGGGAAAGACGCTAAAGAACATTTTGTTTACATGGATTAGATATATTAATATTTATGATATTAGAAATAAAAACTGAGAAACTAGTATGAATTCATTTTAAAATTATTAATAAATCAATTTTACAGAATAGCTACCATTTTAATGAAGACTAATTAGACTTCCCCCCAAATTAGTGAGAATAATACCATTATACACTTTTTAAAATCAAATCTTTAAGGTCTGATTTAACAAAAGATTTTCATTTCTACTCTGCATTCAATCTGTTTAACTTAAAATATTTAAAAACCTGCTTCATACTTATTCCCAGATAACTAGTGGGAAATGGTAAATTTATTTTGATAGTCTTTCCAAATAACTGAAGACGATTTTCTTTGATACTACACCAAAACTTCCCAGGTGGTAATTTCTTGAATGTTATTTACAATACAGAATCTGAAACTTTCCATACAGTTTAACATGAGAATCCATTTTCTGCTTTGAAGGGATTTTGTAACCTCATGCATTGATCACTTGAAAAACACTGGTTCCCAAAGTTACACAGATCTTCCAAGTGATGATACATTCTACTGTACTATTTAAAAATATCACATTCATTTAATATCATCATTCATCTCATCAGAAAGTTCTGGGCAGTTGTGAAGCAGCAGAATCAAGTTCCTAAAATTCTAATTTTCTCTTGAAAGCCTAATTTTACTGTCAAAAAACACTGTCAATTCTTTTCCTTGAAGTGACAGGTTTATACTGTCTACCAAATACTCAAGTCTGCAAAGCTATAATTTGTCTGCCAGTCATTATTTCAAGTAAAAATAGTGTTCTATGAAACAACTGGCTAGTTCAGCTCACAACTTAAACAATAACACAAAAGCTTTTCTTGAGACAACTGTGGTACTTTGGTATACAGAAAAAAGTGCTTTATGTGTAGTTCCATTTACTCATACAGAACATTAAAAAGATGGTGATTCAAAGGTCAAGATTTATTAGACTTAATATTTTTGAACACCTTATCAAGGACATTCTTTAGTGAAAGTGGCTCTTTTTCCTTACTTTCAAGTGCATGGCATTGAAGAATATGACTGCTATTAGCATAGTAGGATGCCAATACCTTCACTAAGGAAGCAGCAGCCTTAGCCAGCATTGCTTTTCATATCAGTTCAAAGGTCCATACAATAAAAAAGGCAAATGATGTTTTGATAATATTAAAACAGTTTTGACTTCGCGACCCTTACAATGGTTTCAGGGGCTCCCAGAGGCCTGCTGACTGAACTTCAAGAACGACTGTCTTAGAGGATGTGACTATGTCATTAAGAGCATTAACTTAAGAGTCAGACACTCCTGGTTCTACAGTTATTTCTGCATGACCCTGGGCAAGTTACTTACCCTGGGTCCTTTAGTTTCCTCTTGTGTAAAATGGAAACAAGGATAGTGTCTACACGACAGCTTTTTTCTTATGCATTAAAGACTACTACTTATAAATATTTTTCCCGTGAAATGATACATTCTCTTACGATTTAATTAGCAGTAAATCTTGTGGCTCAGCTGGTAAAGAATCCCCCTACAATGCGGAAGACCTGGGTTCGATCCCTGGGTTGGGAAGATCCCCTGGAGAAGGGAAAGGCTACCCACTCCGGTGTTCTGACCTGGAGAGTTCATGGACTGTACAGTCCATGGGGTCACAGAGTTGGACACAACTGAGTGACTTTCACTTTCACTTTATACCACAAAACAGTGAAATGAAACATTCTGCAATAAGAAACACATCTATATATTAAAAGAAAACCCTTTAAAATGTGGACTTTTATGTTAAAGTAAAAACCCTGTATGTTACCTACACGTTGTCTACAAATACATGTATGTGTATGTTGTCTACACATACATGAAACAATGCATTTCATCAAAATAAGCAAATAATTTTCTGTAAAGTGAAAACAATTAAGTCCTATTCTCTTCTGAGTTTATTAAATTAATATGGTCAATTTATGTGGATTCTTAAATCTTCCATTCACCTAACTCCTTGATGCAGATGTTGCTGTTAGTCTTCTACTCATCTGTCTGCATGTGTGCAAGCTCAGCTGTCAAGTTGTGTCCAACTCTTTGTGACTCCATGAACTGTAGCCCTCAGGACCCTCTGTCCACGGGATTTCCCAGGGAAGAATACCAGAGTGGGTTGTCATTTCCTTCTCCGGGGATCTTGCTGATCCAGGGGTCACACCTGCATCTCCTGCACTGGCAGGCAGGTTCCTTACCACTGAGCCAGCAAAGGAAGCATTCATCTGTCTACTTTCTGTCAAAATGGTTTTTAGCATTTCACATGTCAAGTGTTGGTCACTGAGTCGTGTCCAACTCTTGCGACCCCATAGACTGTAGCCCACCAGGTTCCTTGGTCCATGGGATTTCCAGGGCAAGAATACTGGAGTGGGTCACCATTCCCTTCTCTAGGGATGTTCCCAACCCAGGGATCGAACCTGGGTCTCCTGAATTGCAGGTGGATTCTCTATTGCCTGAGAATCAGGCAAGGAAGACCTGAGGGAAGCTTCCAGGGAAGCTGAGCCGCCAGGGAAGCCCAAGTCAGTACATAACTACATAAAATAAAATTTTATATAAATCTTGAAAAATTCAGCAGTGGCCACAGGACTGGAAAAGGTCAGTTTTCATTTCAATCCCAAAGAAGGGTAATGCCAAAGAATGTCCAAATACCACACAATCATGCTCATTTCACATGCCAGCAAGGTAACACTCAAAACCCTTTAAGCCAGGCTTCAACAGAATGTGAAAAGAACTTCCAGATGTACAAGCTGGATTTAGAAAAGGCAGAGGAACTAGAGATCAAATTGCCAGCATCCACTGGATCACAGAAAAAGCAAGGGAATTCCAGAAAAACAGCTACTTCTGCTTCATTGACTATGCGAAAGACTTTGGCTGTGTGGATCACAACAAACTATGGAAAATTCGTAGAGAGGGGAATACCAGGCCATCTAAACTGCCTCCTGAGAAATACGTATGCAGGTCAAGAACCAACAGTTAGAATTGGACATGGATCAATGGGCTGGTTCAAAATTGGGAACAAGTACTTCAAGCAGGGTGTATATTGTTACCTTGCTTATTTAACTTATATGCAGAGTACATCATGCATAATGCCAGGCTGAACAGAGCACAAGCTGGAAATAAGACTACCAGGAGAAATATCAATAATGTCAAATATGCAGATGACACCACCCTTATGGCAGAAAGTAAAAAGGAACTAAAGAGCCTCTTGGTAAAGGTGAAAGGAAAGAGTGAAAAAGCTGGCTTAAAACTCAATGTTCAAAAAAAAGATCATGGCATCTGGTTCCATCAATTCATGGCAAACAGGTGGGGAACCAATGGAAACAGTGACAGACTTCTTTCTTGGGCTCCAAAATCACTG